ATTCGAATTTGCTGTTATTCTGACACGTGCACATCACCTTCTGTACTTCGTTTGGCATGAAACAGCCGACCGAACACGCTGCTACAGAGACACAGCTACAGGTTTTTATTCGGGAAGTATTCGCTTCGAATCTCGGTCCGGACTCCGGCTCTCTTGTCTGAGGTCCTTCGTAGTTTTCCTCAGTATATGTAGAGGAATGTCGGGATAGTGACTCAAATCACAAAAGGCTTTTTCTAAATAATTTATAATTCGTCTTTCATTTTATCAGCCTACCATCCGACGCTAAACGGAATGTGTCATACACGTATCCAACTGAAGGATAATTACTGTGGCTCCAAACAATGAAATACTGTATAAATCCGGGCCCCGAAATGCAGCGGTAATGAATTAGAGCCATTCGAAAGTGTTCGGGTAACAGTAAAACGTATTCCTTTAACAGGCCATGGAGGCCCATACGATTGTGAGGCGCTGAGGCTCCCACATTAGGCTCATAGATGGCGGTAAGGTTGTCAGCCTTACGCGCCGGCCGCCCTTTCCTCCCAGGAAGATTCCTGGTACTTACTTCTGTCAGAGACTGAGTCGATCCCACGGTCATAGTGCGGCTGGAAGGATTAGGTAAATCGAAAATTATTCCACCTCATGGTGACTCGAACCCGCGACCTTCGGGCTTGTAGCATAGTGCCTCAACTAATTACACGTAAGAGTACGGTTAGAAATGTGATTACAAGAGTAGGGTGTGCTAGTTACTTTTGTATGAAACTGGAATTTAGAACGGATGATGTGAATGATGGCTTGTCATTTATCTTTACCAACTTTCACATTCAACAAGAACAAAAAACCCGTTTTCATATTTACAGTGACAGTGAGCTGACCACGTGCACTAACATTTGACACCGGGCGTTCATTCCCAGTGAACTATATGTACAATCAAATGTCATTCTGTCTGTGTCATAGTTGCTCTGTAAGCCCGTGCCTAAAGTGCGTAACTACATAACAGTTTCTTGTACGCATTCTTATTATGAATCTGGGAACTGAACACAGCGTTACAGACATCTAGGGTATGAAAAAAGGATCAGCCGCTTCTACATCTACAGGAGAGCACGTTAGCTCAAGCGGTAGATCCTTTCACTTTTGTTAGGTAAAATTCCAGTTAAAATCTCGGATGGGATAATCACAGAGTATCCTGATGGAGACATTTGTGGTGTTCATTATCCCTTGCAGAAGAATGCTGGGGTAGTATTTCCAATTACAGCCTCAAACATAATTCTTGTTAATTGGACTATCTTATTAATGTACGATTTGATGTTCTCACAGCGTTAATTATAAAGAATATTGTCTTCTGGGATATATCGCCGTGTAGTCCACTGAAATTCAACGGATGTCTGAAACGTCGATTAACTTTCAACGGACTACACGGCGATCCTAATAATATTTGGTGAAAGGCATAGAAAACACCAATCTCCCCAAACTTTCCTTCTTCTCCGATTACTTTCATTCCGTCCCCCCCCCCTCTTTGCCGCCATATCGGGCCCAAACATTGTCTCAGAACTTTGTTATTCCCTCAGGGGAAACTTTCACAGGTGTTTAAACCTATCTTTTTTATATCTTAAATGTTAGATTTTGAACTTCCTACTAGACTTTAAGAAAAACACAGAAATGCAGAACTATATATATATGTATGTCCAGTATGAAAGAGAAATAAGAAAGAAGAAAGCAGAATTAACCCGAACACATTTTACATGTTAATTAAAATGTATTCCTAGTGAAGTTACAATACAAACCAGCAGACCCAAAGATGTAGGAAAGATGAACTCGGCTGAAGAAAGAACAGGCTAGAGGACTGTCTGAGCTGAGGAAAAGGAGGAAGAAAAAGACTTTCAGATAAAAGCAAGATTTTTTGGACTGAATATAAGCTTACACATTTCACCGAAAGATAAATCTGCCTGTTTCAAGTTGTGTGAAGTGCTTGAAAATTGTTATAATAAATATATCATTGAACGGGTTAGAATAAGTGAAGGCAGGCCCTAAAAATATGATGATTCTTTCATTATTTAACAACAATATTTCAAGTACAGAATATCAGAAGCGGTGGAAGGGTGATGATATATTTTCTTAGACACAGAAATTATGATATTAGCCAGAGAATATTTACCTAACAGCTGAAATGAATTCAACATTTCGATAGGAATGTTTTCAGCTTATACAGAGTGTGAGTGAAAGGTGCGGACAAATTTTGGGCACAAGTTCCGCTTACCATAGCAAGAAAAAATGTCCATGCCGACATGTGACTGGAAATATTAATTTGTGAGCTGTAACTGAAAGAATACTGTACGTGCGTGAAGGTGGTCCGGCACATTTTATCCGTGCTATGCCATATGTTCTCAATATCACTTATCATGACTGATGGATAGGTAGGAGAGGACACAACTCACTAGATCTGAAACCTCCGAATTTTTACCTGTGGAGTCATCTAAAATCTTTTGTGTGTCCAGCTTCTGTTGTAACCGAAGAGGCATTTCACCATCAACCACGCATTCTTTTTTATAGTCAGATGGATTCTGGAAGTGCATATTATTCGTACTTTCGAAGAGAAACAGCTCATTATCTATAACATGTTTTTGAAATATTCCTGGATATATCTCGATTGATCAGGATTGAAATAAAATTCACAGGCTGAAATATGTAGGTTGTTCCTCTTTGTGATATTTCAGAGTTCGCTGTTTTATGTATGAAATTCGCCAGGCTGTGTTCTCCTAGAGTGACTGCACAATTGAAATCCCAAGTAAAAACCGGTGTGGTAACTCAGCCCTATTCCGCAGATGCCTCGCTGCGCATTCCAGAACATCCAGGACCTGTTTTCGACCCACAAATTGATGGACATACGTTGCAAGTTACTTGGACTTTGTGTCCAGTATTCACAATGCTCCGACGCTTACAGGAATTCCTTGCCAGCCTAACATGGCAACTCGAAGCAACTTGCACTCATACACTTCCAGAACTTCAACATTTCACACGAGCATAAGACTTTTTTATGTAGACTTTATACAAAGTATATAAGATTATAACATGGCGTGAAAGTCGTGTTTTTCTGTCATTTTATCCGACTGCTTTAATTTCTGAAATTGTATGACTATTTTCGGTGACATTTGATATTGGAGTTCTGCATTAAAAATTCTTGACAATTGTTCCTTCAAATATTATGACCTTACACGAAGCTAAATTCAAATTTATCAATTTTAGGGAAAACCGCTTGTCGCATAAAATATACGTAATATACTAAAGGTAATGTTATTGTGTCCCGTCAGTCGAACAGATGGATCACAATGGCCTACACATAAGGCTATCTTCCCTTAATTATTAAATAGCACGTATAAAATATTTTTGGAGAAAAATGAGACGAATCAAAAGTCGTTATTGTCAATACACACCACGCTGACTCCATATCCACTTCGAACAACGTTCGGGAAATCACTGACGGTAAAGCAGAGGAAATATCAGATATAGGGCAGCTGTGACTACTTTGTTCTACGGCTTTGAAGAACTGTTGTGTCATTTTGACCCAGTCTGCCGGCTGAGGGTTACGAAGTAAGAATCAGACTCAAACTTAAAATCATAGTTAATAACATGAAGTAACCCTCACTTAAAGTGGATACAAATGTAGTCTGCACAGAATTGGAGGAAGGCAGGATCTTCAGAATGGTACATGCACATGATCCCAGTGGACAAATGGGACATGGGAAGACCTACAAGCGGCTAGAGAAGAAATCAAACTCTCGAGCTTCGGAACGGAGTTACAAACACTGTATTTGTAAATGACAGCATTGTCTGGCCTTACCTTTTTTTTTAAATCATTTAGTGAAGGGTGGAGTCCAACTGGGTCCACTCGGCACGGCGGCCACTGATTGGCCTATTGTAGCCTGCCCCGGGTGATATTATGATGATGGAGAATTTGGTGGAATGAAAATTGTTAAGGGAAACCGAAGTATTCGGAGAAAACCCGCCACAGCGCCATTTTGTCCACCACAAATCCCACTTAACCAGACCCGGAATCGAACCAGGGCCACCGCGGTGGGAAGCCAGCGACTAACCGCTTGAGCTATGGCGCGGCCTTAAAAATAACAACTGTCGTTGCTACTGAATCACTTGCCCAGTGATTTGCCTCATGACAAAGGTGGAGAGGGGAAGGTAAATGATGAGATGACATTGTGTTAATATTTACTCCACTCTAACATATTATTTGAATAATTATTACGGGCTAGCTGTCATGTGTCACATTGTAATAACATTAGCTATTGGGTCTGCAAAGGAAATGATTTGCATTGCTTGTTGATTGATTAATAGGCTTCTTTACATAATCCTTGACCCTGAAGATTTTGGCAGCAGTTGCCTACGCTTTTACGAAACGTCGCTAGACATCCAGCTTATTACACAGCATCATATCTCAGAAGATAGTCACCGCCGTGAGATATCTCACATCCTACGTCCTTAGTGTAAAATTTTCAATTCCTTCTGAAGCATATCTTTTGAATATTTCTGCATCTAAATACTGTATTTATTAGAGGGTCTGTGATTTTGGTGTCTCATGAAGACTAGGTTATTCCTTGAGTTTGCCGATCACAGTGCCCGTGATGTCTAAGGCATGAACTGTCTTCGCCCTCTCATACACTGGGATCGTGTGTTCGAATCCCACTTGGGACATGGGTGTCTGTGTGCATTTATTCTGTGTTTGTGTCGTTCTGTTTGTAAGTAGAGACTTTGCGACGGGCTTATACCCCGTCCAAGACGTCCTACCTACTGTGTAAAAATCAAGAAACTGAAGAAAGCAGCGAATTTCAAACAAAGGACTGTAGAGCCACAGACAGTCAGATATTATTTCATTTTGCAATTGATGAAATAACCGATATCCAATGACTGCTTAAAAACTCATCTCTGTTCTCTTTATACGTACTGTGCTTGGAAACGAAGAGAAAAGATCAATTGATTGATTGATTATTTCACAGGGCCGTGGGCAGTCACGTGGTGATGGACCCGACGCTCATCTGCAAGAAGACTCGTCGGTTACGAGGCAGACTCGCAGATATATGTAAGAAAGAGCCAGCTCTCCTCAAGGAAATATCAAAAGGTGTGTCACTCGGCACCAAGGAGTGCCAGTACCAGTTCCGGAACCGACGCTGGAACTGTACGACAGTGCACAGAAGCCTGCGTAAAATTCTCATGAGAGGTAAGTGTGACTGTCACGCTATCTAGTAACACCGCTCTTTTCCAACCCGCCTTTGCTTGTATCGGCGCAGTCGGAATGGTGCTATCCCTGCTACACCTGTTTCTATCTTAGGACAGTGTATGATGGCTACTGGAAGTTGTCCTCACAGATCAAACTAAGGGAGATCGGTATAGATACGGGAAACTAACTGGGTCGGTTCGCATGAGTCTCAGGGTAGCGATGCCGAAGAAAGCGTTTTCTGAGAGTTGAGCCAATTGACGTTTATTCACCTGCTAATTCACCACACTGTTAAATTAATGTATTCTTAGCTTTAAGTTACAGCGTTACACTATCGGCAAGCTATGTCTCGGAGCGTGCAAGGGTCACGTCCGTTCAGTTCGGAATATTGTGCAAGTCTCCTTTGTGGAATGGCTTGCACACCCCACGCCGGGAATTCGAAAGATGGTGTGGACATATACATTTCATCCCATCTTCCGTAGGAAGCTTGAACGAGGCAACCCAATCATACTGGCCCTCATTCACAGGCAATTGTAACAAGCTCTGACCTGTCCTTTTAGGCGCGTCCGGTTCCCTGTACCCGAGCTAAATTTATGACTGATCGTAAATGTCATAACTCCGGACCTCTTGTTTCTGCCAGAATCTAGAAATTTTCAACATAAACACCGTATTGCACGTCCCAGACGACGAAATACGATATTATAGATCACGATACATTTCCAGTAATATCGAAACATAAGACTTTTGAAATTCAAATTACCGAGAATTGATTAGAAATAAATTTCATGGTCATCTATAATCATCCAAATAAATAAGGGCTCAGAATGATCAGCGTCACTAGGTTGTTTGTAAAGTGTTAATAACTACAGTGACTCCCCCAAATCGAAGTCAGTTGGTTCCATAAAAGGTAGTCGATTGGCGATTTTTTGTTTAATGAAAGCAGTTTTAATATTTGCTTTGCTTATCCTTGTAGGGCCCATAATTCCATTAAATTTATTCACAAAGTTACAACATGTGATTAAAAAGAGTTATTACTGATAAGTTCTTGGGCTTCTGCTTTTCAATGTCTACATAAACGACTTGTGTGATTCAGTTAAACACTCCAGGTACCTACTCTTTGCAGATGACATTAAAATTTACCGTGCTATTAGCTGTCCTGAAGATTTTAATCTTCTGCAATCTGACGTCTGTATATGTAGCTGGTGTGCAGCGAACTATATGAAACTCAACGTTAACAAGACCCAAAGTTATAACGTTCTTCAGGAAAACTAACTATTTGATATACGCGTACAGACTTTTTTATTTCACTATAACTCGAACATATTCAGGGAATATACCTTGATTCTAAACTTCATTTTCATGATCATGTTAATTTTATTTTTTCACACTGTGTTAAGATGCTATGTATAATTCGCGTATAACCTTTAACAAGTCAACCCTTGGATGCGCGTTCATAATATACTTTACTTGAGTTAGATCCAAGGTTGAATACGCTTCAGTAGTTTGGAACTCCATTACGTCAACCGATGCAAACAAACTAGAACGCATTCAGCAGAAATTTACGGCTCTCTCTTTTAAACTTTTTTTTTTCCTCAAGTGCGCGCGCAATGGCTATCGTCCATTATCCCGGGAACGGCGATTGTTTCGGTATTCGGACATATTATGGGAGTGTCGATGAATCGAATCGTTGATTAGGGGACATCGATTGGAGAAAGATTTATTTACTGAAATAAGAATCATGCAGTTTCCTACAAAATAGGGGTCCGTTTTAAAAACGAGAAACGGATAATTATGACATATAAGATTTGATATATATATATATATATTTACACTTGATTTTCGAAATGTTAATTCAAATGAAATTTTGCTAAGGGCAAACACCACCAACCTCAATTACTTCCTTCGTCATAGGCAAAAAAAAAATAATGCCCTATTCTCAAGTGGAACCCTGATAGTTCAGTCGGTATAGCGACTGGCTACGAGTTGGACGACCGAGGAATCGGAGTTCGAGTCCTGATGGGTGCAAGAATTTTCATTTCTCCATATTGTTCAGACCGGCTCTGGTGCCCACCCAGCCCCATTTCCAGTAGATACCAGGGGTTCCTTCCCCTGAGTAAAGCGGCCGAGGAGTGAAGCTGACCACTCACCTCCTACTAGTGCCAAGGTCAAGAAAATGTAGATATATGTACATCCACTGCTCCATAAGGTTTCATGACGTAGTGCTTAATTAGTTAAGCACAGGGACGACTTTAACTTTTATATATATACTTGATATTCGAAGTGTCAATTTAAATCAAATTTTGTTTGTTATGGGCAAGCATAACCAACCTTCAATTGCTTTCCCCATCTTAGGTAAAAATATATTTTCAACACCCTGATCTCAAGTTCCACATTCGTATAAAGAACAGGAAAACTGTATTTTGTATATTTTAATATCTAAACTTACACATTTCAAGGGCGGAAAATTGAATTAGGCTTATAAGTATATTACATATTATGGATTTGTCAATCCTTCCTCCCTGTCTCTTACTCTCTCTTTTTAAGTTGTATGTAATTGTAATCCGACGATAGGTCTTATAGTAAATCTTGGTAAAAGACTAATTCTGTAATTATGCATTTGCTATCAGAACACTGAAGTTGGCACTGGAATACGCATGACTAAATAAATTAAAAGTGGTCGTTAATGAGCGTTGTTACATTAACACGATTCCCGAAATGTGACAGTACAATTGAAATGATTCAAGTTCTCACGTATAAAAGAACCCTCATCAAAAATTAAACATCTACAGTCGAATACCGCAATGTGGAATGTTGCTGTAGAGTATTTTAAAACGTTAAGCACATGTGTCACTCTTTCATACAATGTGATTCGTCAGATAGCTTGGTTACCTTGATATGTCTGCAGTGGTGACAAAAAGTGGTAACATGATCTGTAGTGGGGATATATTATAAGCTCATGTGTATATCATCATAACACATTTTCATTACTTACTAATGATTATTAATGACTTAAAAAAAGTTGTACAAATGATCTGCTTGTAGGCCCAAAAATCCAAAAGAAAGATTTTCTTCTGTTACACTAAGTACCTAATTTATTTTGCTACCCAAACCTGTTCTTTCCCATCAGCCATATTCCTCATCTTAATTTCAAACTCCTTAGTTTTTACTTTCCTCGCATCTCCATTCAAGAAGGTACCGATGGATGTGGCTCACTGCAGGGTCTTTCCTTTTCGAGACCCCATTCCCTGCGTGCCTCTGTTTTCAGAAGTAGATCCTTATCTTATTCATTAAGAAATGTCCGAGTTCTGTCAGTCTTTCATACAAAATGTAGAACTTGTGGAAAGAGAGAGTTCTGCATTATGGCATACAGACCCGTTACTAGGCAACGGTCCTTAAACTGCAACATAGTTGCGGTGAATCTTTTCGGTCCGTGTCGAGGTGTTATAAGAAGTTCATTCTGGAGAATTCGCGATGTTCTGAGTCTGTAGTTATGGGTTCGATGACTGGGGTTCACTGTTGTAGAAAATTTTTATATAGGATTTGAGGTTCTCACAGCGGTAGCTATGAAGAGTTACATCTTCTGGGATATAAAGCCGCGTAGTGTGATGCGGTCAACTGACATTTCGCAGGAACATAACGCCCTTTTCTTCATAGTCGAGGAATAAACCAAAAAAGAGGGAGTGTGAAGTTATTTTTCAATTAATTATCCGTTGATATATTGGGTTTTTGGACTTTATCCATCGTCCTGGCTTTTAAGATAACTAATAAAAACCCAATATATCAGTGTGTTATACACCATCGTCAAAATCCTATAGTAACTAATTATCCGTTGTTAAATATTTTCGAGGGATTTGTTGCTTGGCTTATTCTTCAGTCTTCAAAATAAAGGCGAAATATTCCTTCGAAACCTCAGTTGACTTTCAGCGGACTATATGGCATTACAATCCCACAAGATATACCCATAAATCTTAGCCGTTCTTTCCTCCGCCTCATTCAGAGGGACTCCGAGCCACCCATCCAATGTGTACGATGTACTGATCACCCACCTCATTCAGGATTGAGGTTAGGAATGCTTGAAGCACCGTTTTCACTCCTTACACGTCTGCACAGCGTAGGGTTAAACACAGAACCAACTTCTCTCGCTTGACTATAGGATCCGTTCATTCTCGAACTCGGTTATACTAAGACACGAATGGTGAGCTATACACTTCTGACTCCCCGCGGCTAATACTTACTCTCAGTCCGGCTTGAATAAAAGGAATCCAGGACAGGTGACTCGGTATAGCGACTAGTCTACGGGATGGACTACTGAGGGGTGGGGGTTCGATTCCTGGTAAGGGAAAAAGATTATCTTCTGATTAAAGTGCAAACCCTGTCGGGGACCCAACAAGCTTCCTATTAAGAGGATGCGTGGGAGTGTCCCCCGGGGATAATGTTGCAGTGGCCTGAAGCTGTCCACTCATCTCCGTCTTGTGTCGAGTTTTTAAGAATTGTGAAGCTACACTCTACCCCCCAGTACGTCTTCATGGCGTTGTTCTTAATTAATTAAGCCAAGAAATAACTTACTTTCTTAACCTTACTCCTTGGATTGGTGCGGAGAATATTTGTACCGAAGAGAGATGAAGTGACAGTAGGTTCGAGAAAACTGCATAATGAGGAGCTTCATAACCCGTACTCTTCTTCAAGCATAATTAGAACGATCATGCCAAGGAGGATGATATGGGCAGGACAGGTAGCACGAATGAGGGATGAGAGGAATACATATAGGATATTGGTGGGAAAACCAGAAGGAAAGAGACCACTGGGAAGACCAAGACTTAGGTGGGTGGACAATATTAAAATTGATCTTAGAAACATAGGATGGGATGGTATGGATTGCATTGATGTGGCTCAGTATATGAACCAATGGAGGGCTCTTGTGATGACGGTAATGAACCTTCGGGTTGCATAAAATGCTGAGAAATTTTTGAGTAGCTGCACACGTGGTAGCTTCTCAAGAAGGG